CTTTTCCGTTGTGGATATATGCTTGATTATGCAATTGTCTCTGATTTGAAATGTGTCTGATAGCAATGTATATATGTATATATATATATACATATATATATATAGGCTACAAGAGCTAATTATATATTGTCTCATATAATTAGTTACTCTTAGTATTTCGGTCCTTGTATTTTAAAAAATTATTTTGCTATCCTATGGTTACAAAAATAAAATATTTAGGTTCATTTATCCTATAATATCAGTTTTACTAACGAAAATATAAAAATATAAAAATAAAAAAATAAAAAATAATTTTAATGTTTTGATGGTGGTGGATGATGATGTCGTTGGCGTTGACGTAAAATCCTCTCCTTTGTCATCGCCCAGTACATCATCGCAACCTTTTACAACAATGCTTTCACCTTGTTCTTTCTTTTCGTGCTCACCCTGCTATTGCTGACTAAAGTCATCGGAAAGATCCCTCACATATCAAAGCAAGACTCGAATAGACGATGGATCTCCATGATGGTTTCGACAGTTGACTTTGATTCTGCTAATGTTAAAATTACCACCAAAATATTAAAAAAAATTTATCCTTTATTTTTATATTTTTGTTAGTAAAATTGATTTTGTTATGATAAATAGATTTAGATATTTTACTTTAATATCTATAAATATGTCAATATAATTTTTTTTAAAGTGTATTAGAATAGAAATGATAGCTAACTGAGGATTAATCCGCAGGCCCAAATAAAGCCCAATAGAAACTTCCCGTGCGAAATTGGCTTTGCTGGCGCCTGGCGGAAGGAAGGAGAGGCTTCCAGAACCCGCTCAAAGGTTCTGATCCTTTCTCCCTCAGCTCATATGCCGGTAAGGAGGGAGAGAGAGAGAGCAAGGAGGGAGAGAGAGATGGCATCGAACTACTACTACGGTTGGAAGAGCTTCAGCGAGGACGAGGACCGGCCGGAGAAGCCGCGACGCTTCGGCGTTACCGAGATCAGGGGGCCCGACCACTGCCTCGCCGGCCGTCGCCACGACCTCGAGGTACCAACCGGCATCGCCTTCCCTTCTTCCTGATTTGGATCGTTTCTTCACGGAAACGTTCGAATTCGATGAATTCGTCTCGAATGGGGAGCGGCGATGGTTGCCCTTGTCGGTCTCACTTTCTTGCTTCCCTCGAGAGCATTGGGATAGGCTCAATTTGTGTCATTGAGGTGGACGAGAAGATTCTTGGATCTATATTGGCTAATCTTAAATTTTTTATCAATGCTGTAGCATCTAAAAGTTTAATCCATTAGATGAGATATGATCTATATAAATCACCCTCGCTCATTTGTGGGTGCGGGTGACAGATAGCTCAACTCAGCACGTGGCCTGGACAAGATTCGAAATCAGGACCTTTCGTCTGATACCATCTACCATCTTAAATCTTTTATCGATGTCATTGATCAATGACATTGTGTTATCAATGTCAGTAGATAACACTAGATTTATATATTTATATCCTTAACAGCCAATGTTTAAGCTTCCTATTTTAGTGGATTCTTGCTCTTAATTGAAACGATGAAGCTGTTCCTTGAGTTTGATGTTCCGGCATTTTGATGACGAGTTGGTTGACAGAGTATGAGTTATGCCCTATAGGGAGAGTGGAAAATGAACAGCTTCCTGCTTTTTGGATCGATCATGACATTGGCAATAGCATTTTATTGCAGCAGCTATTTGGGGTTTGCAAGCGCGCTTCTTGGTGTTTTAGCTTCAACCGCGAAACTAGCTATCCATCGAACACCATTTCCAAAATTGCTGATTCTGTTGTGATATTATGGCCTAAATCCGTGTGCCACCAAAAGATGCAAGTTCTGTAGGATCCTTTTTACTATGTGATGTGCCATAAGCAGAGACATTTAAGATGTTCTCGAATCTAATAGTTCATGTTTATGTCAACTGAGGGTTCCATCTTAAGTCGAAGAAAAATGGTTAGTAAATTATGCTTAGTTATGGATAACTAATTAGGAGGTGACTCTTTGGATGGTTGTTCCTTGAGAACCACAGGCAAGGGAATGAAACATGAAATACGAGCTGAGGAATAGGCATGGGAGTGAAAGTGAACTGAAGCATGGTTCATGTACATGTTTAACAGACAGCAATTTCCTTCTCAGTGTAGATCTCAAATTTATTGAGAAACTTATTAATTTCAAACTCAACCATTTGCAGAAACTAGTTTTATGGTAAAATTGTGAAGCATATGTAGTTTCTATCCGTTGTTACGTTGATTACTGAAGTTAGTTTTCCTTGATACCAGTAATTTTCTGATATTATAGTAGTACTCTTATGTTGCTGATCCTGATTCACCTTTTATGCAACTTCTTTGGTCCGTTGTGTTACTTTATGAGGGAAATTTTGTTGCCATTAAGAAAAAGTTCTTGTTGGCTTATTCTTTTCATGTCTTTTCAATAGTATGTCAACCTATTGTTCTATGTTTGCTCACATATTATTTAAATGGTGTTGAAGCTACTTCCTACTTCCTAGTCTGTTGCAGGCTTGCAGAATCCTTTTCATAAACATAATTTATTTTCTTTAAATTGTATGGTGCTTCGTGTTGCTGATTAACTTGAATAAAATTTATCATGATTGTGAAAATTTGGCTTAACACATCATGCTATATAATATATATGATAAGAATTAGTGTATTTAGTGGATTTTCCCCCTCTTTTTTTTTTTAATATCCGATCATCATCGATTAAGCCATGCTAGGTTTTTGAAAAAGACTTGTGATGACTACTTGTAGGACATCTTGGAATCCATGGGAGAGTTTGTCGATGGTTTGAAGTTCTCAGGAGGCTCACATAGTTTGATGCCAAAGGAATTTATCAGGGAAATAACAGAATTGGCACACAGACACAACATATATGTTAGTACAGGTGATTGGTCAGAGCATCTGCTTCGCAAAGGCCCTTCTTCATTCAAACAATATGTTGAGGTATGCAACTTTTCCGATTTTATCTTTTATGCTCTTTATTTCTTTCCATTTAAATTAAATACTTTGCATTTGTGCATTTACAGGACTGCAAAAATCTAGGGTTTGACACAATCGAGTTAAATGCTGGATCACTTAAACTTCCTGAAGAAGCACTTTTGAGATTTGTTCATCTCATCAAGGGTGGGGGCCTTAAAGCCAAGCCACAGTTTTCAGTAAAGTTTGACAGGTCTGAGATTCCCGTAACTGGAGATAGAGCTTTTGGAGCCTATATAGCTCCTGTTCCCCCAAGCTCAGGTAATTAGAATCAGATTGCCTGTGGCAACTTGGAATAGCAACCTGGAAGTGCAATAGCTTGTTATGACAATTGGATCCACACAAGCTATTTTGTGTAATTGCAGGTCTAGCAAACTTTAAGGTCGTAAAATCATAGACACAGAACTAAGATTCTGTTTTTATTTTTAACCCATAAAATGCCTATCTATACTACAGTCTTTTCATTCACCACTCATTTCAAAGCTAGCATCGGAAAGTTATGCATGAAGGCTTAAGTTCAATGCATGAATATGTGGATCGTATTCCATAAATGGCATATCAATATACTTCAAAAAAATATTCAGTTGGTATACATCTTACGTTTCTCCTTTGGATTTCTTGTAAACAGTCATTTGATCTTTTTAAGCTTTCAGTGGTTAGATATACACCAGTAGCTACTTGTTGAGATTTGAAGATAATTTGTCCTTGTCTAAGATTTCAAATGCTATTTGTTTCTCATCGATCTTAAACAGTTAAATAAAAATGTTAAAGTTGTAATAGTATTTTGACAAAGTAGAGACTATCAAAAACTTTTGTTTTTTCCAAAGGCTTGAGTTGGAACCTCTGTTTCACCTTGGCACAGATGCAAATTTGTCCTTGGCTTCCTTGTCTAAGATTCGAATGCTATTTCTTTTTGTCGATCTTAAACAGTTAGAAATAAAATGCTAAAGCTGCAATAGACTGTAAATTTTATTGCTAGAATTGGAACCTCTGATTCACTAAGCCACAGGCCAAACCATGTACCATGTATGATTGACGAGGTTGTATTCCTTTCTTTAAGATTCTATTCTAGGTTTTTTTGCATCATCATTCCACGGTTTTTTTGTTTCACAGAAATCATTGAAGATGTTGATTTGTTAATCAGAAGGGCCGAGCGATGCTTGGAAGCTGGGGCTGATATGATTATGATCGACGCCGACGACATTTGCAAGTATGCTGACTCTCTCAGATCAGACATTATTGCAAAAATCATAGGTCGCTTGGGACTGGAGAAAACCATGTTCGAAGCATCCAGTGGTAAGACTTCAGAGTGGTTCGTCAAGCGCTACGGACCAAGGGTAATACACTTTCCCCTTTCTTTCACCTGATCTAACCAAACTCTCATGACAGAGAACTCTGCTAAATTGGATCATGTAATTTTTCCAACAGGTGAATCTTTTTGTCGACCACTCTGAGGTGATGAATCTGGAATGTCTTAGAGGGCTCAACTTGGGCAGAAACCATACATCTGTGCTTGGCTCTTCATTTTTCCGCATTTGATAACCCCAAATTAAAACTAAATCCATCTCGTCTTTACGGTGCTTGTTTTCGTATCGTTTGTTGTATAGCTTGCGACTAGAACTTGCTGTATTGTTCGTATCTTAAATAAATCATGGTGTACTCTCGGAAACATACCTTGTTCGTGTAGTTATGTTAATCTTGTTTGAGACATTTAATAATCTGGCACTTGAATTCACTGTTCTTGACATGCATAATTATTTTGACATTACTATTTCTTCCTCTCCAACTTATTTACCCTCTCAATAGTGTCTACTATAGCAATAATGCAGCTCTGTGGCATATGTAAAATGTTGCATCCAACAAATGTTTCACCCCTTTGAGCATGAATGTTGTTCTTCTATCAGTAATTACGTAATTACTGTATATATATATATATATTATTTTTGTAATATATATATAACTCATGTAAGTTCCTTTTGTAATATATTATTTTTGATGGAAGTACATGCGGCTACAAGAAATAGATGTAACAGCGCTTGTCCTTGGAGCCCACCGTGATGAGACCGTCGGGCCCCACCTCCACGTCGCAGCTAACGTGGAGGTGGTGCCGGTGCGTGTCCCACGTCGACATCCTGAACCGCACCACCGACGCCAGCTGCAGTCGGAACACCACCGAGCCCGCCCTCGCCTCCCGCGCGACCGTCCCCGCTGCCGCAGCCGGCGCCACCCCCGCCGCCTTCCCGCTTATCACCGTCGTGTTCTTCGGCGGCTGGAAGAACGGTCCCGCCGCCGGGGCTGCCGCGGCCCCGACCCGGTCGTCCCGGTAGTAGACCGAGACGAAGACTGAGTCGTAGGAGACGGCGATCTCCTGGTTGGGGTTCCGGACCGCGACCTCGAAGGAGAAGGTGAGAGGGGCCGAGCCGTTGGCGGAGAGGCCGGTGACGGAGAATGAGGATACGTGGAAGCGGGGGCGGTGGGGGCGGAGGGCGAGCCAGAGCACGAAGAGGAGGACGCAGGCGGCGAGGAGGAGGGATAGGAAGGCGGAGCAGATGAGCTTGACGACTCGCTTGGTGAGGGTCCTATGGACCGGCCGCGAGATGAACAGGGTTGGCGGCGAGCTGAGTTCGGTGGGCATTGCCGGCTCGAATGGGCGGCGGTGGCAGCTGCCTGTTAGTTTGTATGTGGAAGGAGCGGAAGGATGGCAAGAAGCCGAAGGCATATATCAGATCTGCGAAGCCATTCCTTTCTGCTTCTTTTGGCTTTCCTTTCTTCGGACAAAGGAAGGTATGCTTTAAAATCTGTGCAAGTATCCGTCTGTTTTGATGTCATCAAAGATGCGTTCTATAACTCATGGAGTTGTGGCAGGCTCGCGTTACCCACCTTGTAACCGACCCAATCGTTGCGATGGCTTTGCTCGTCAGGCTCCGCCGCTGCCTCCCTCCTCTCGGCCTCCCCCTCCCCCGCCGCCTCTCCGCTGCCCCGACCGCGGACCCTGCCGAACCCATCACTGCCGTCGCTGCCCTCTCACTTCTCCGCTCCGAGAAGGACCCGGCCCGCGTTCTCTCCATCTGCCGCGCCGCTGCACTCTCGCCCAACTCCTACCCCGATCGAACTGCCCTCTCCCTCGCCGTGTCCTCCCTCTCGGCCGCTGGCTCCCCCACCTCCGTCCGATCCCTCCTCGACGGCCTCCTCTCCTCCACCTCCGCCGCCGTTGCCCGTCCCCACGTCATTGTCCTCTTCGGCCAGGCCGGCATGCTCCCCGACGCCCTCCGCACATTCGAAGCATCCCAAACCCCGTCTGTTCGATCTCTCAACGCTCTCCTCTTCGCCTGCATCTTGTCCAAGAAACACGCCGAGGTCCCGAGAATCTTCTACGATTTTACCATTTCCTACGGTATAAACCCTAATCTCGACACCTACAACACCGTAATTAAAGCATTTTGCGAATCGGGATCGTCAAGATGCTTCTTTTCCGTCTTGGAGGAGATGGTTCGGATGAGAATAAAGCCAAATTTGACGACTTTCAGCGTTGCGCTTGCTGGGTTTTACCGCGAGCAGTTATTTGATGATATTAGGAAGGTTCTGTGGTTGATGAAGAAGCATAAATGTCATGCCGGTCTCTCAATCTATAATGTTAGGATTCTGAGCTTATGCAAGCTGAAGAAAAGCAATGAGGCCAAAGAGTTACTGAAGGAAATGCGAATGAGGGGCATGAAGCCAAATTGGGTCACCTATGATCATCTCATCTTGGGGTTCTGCATTGAGGGGTGCTTGGATGAGGCGAAGGTGCTTTTCAGGGAGATGGATAAGAGAGGATTGGTCCCTGAGAGCAGGTGTTACTTTAGTTTGATTTACTTTCTGTGCAAAGGTGGGGCTTTCGAGATGGCTTTGGAAGTGTGTAGGAAGAGTATGGAGAGGAATTGGGTGCCATGTTTTTCCCTTATGAGGGAGCTTGTGAATGGGCTTGTTAGTACTTCGAAGTTTGAGGAGGCTAGGGATATTATTGCAAAGGTGAAGGAGAAGTTCCCCACAAATGCTGAGATGTGGAGGGAGGTGGAAGGAACTTTGCCGTAGTTGCACACTGAGGACTTGGGGAGTCTGTGAGGTATGCCTTCTTTACCAGAATGAGATGTGGTGGTAGAATGGACTTCGGATTTAATGAACTCCTGTTAAAAACTGTATATTAATTGTTTATGCCGTAGCTATGCTAGTTGTATGCCCAAACTAAACTTTCTGCTCAGGCTATCTTCTGTTTACTTGCTTTCGACATTCTGAGTATGTTTCTTCACAGAAGTGAGAATTAGTAGGAGAGGAGGAGCAATTTCTCCTAAAAGAATGATTTTCTTCTCAGAAGAGAGATTAAATTGATATTATGATTTGTCAAATTTTCTGGCGACAACCTAAAATTTTAAGTTTTAACAATATTTTCTTACAAGTTGATGTCCAAATCTGCTTCCTTTGGAGGAAATGTATGTCATAGCTAAATAGAGATTTCATTTTGACCCTGTGGAAGCTTTTCTTTGGTTTCTTTAGTGGGAGTTTGCCAGTTTTCTATATTCCAGCAATTGTCTCAATCTGTCACAATAGTTTCATGTAGCTCTGAAATTTTGTATTAGAGATAATAATGGCTATCCCCTTATTTAATCCTTACGGGGGCTATCTAATCCTTTCTGAAGCTTAATAGAAGTTTTGCTGCTTCATACTTTGAAATTTTCTTCTTGATAAGTTACATGCCAGGGGCTGCTACATGTAACAAGCCCATTTATCCTAAGAATCATAGCTATGTATGTAGGATGATGATTAACTAGTATCCCTCAGATTTCTGAATAGGATTCATCATATATCCTTTTCTGATATTAGTTTGTTTTCTTTATGACATTTCAGGATTCTCGATCTGACAGAAATGAGGTCATTGGCTACCGCAAGAATTAAACTTTACCTTGCCGCTGAAATATGATATTGTCCAATGTGGAAAAGCATACATTGAATACATGAAGGAGGCTTCCTCTCCCTTGATGGATGTCTTATGCTTGATTGGAATTTAATACCGAGATATGAGGTTTGTCAAGTCTGGTAAGTTAAGGAATGTGTTTACAAGTTAACCCACAATTGAGTTTTTGACTTAAACTAGTACAGTATCAGATCTTTTTCATCTCCTGACTTTTACTTAAAAAATTGCTTTGCATCTTCTTTTTATATTATTGACCATGACAAACAATAATTTTTATGAAAAAGTTATTGATTTCTCAAACTTAATTTAGAATTGCATCAGTTCCATATACTCGCCACTGATATACCACAAGTCGACAATATCATTTGTTTTCTATGGCATATTTTTACTTGATCCATTGCAACTAGGAAACCTTACATTCTATAATTTCTTGTTCAACCTAGACAGCACCATTCAGAAGGTGGTTCATGATTTTAACAACAGTATCCTTGATTTTTTTTTTTTCCTTGCAGGATTCAGTTCAATTATCATCATTGGCTTGCAATTCTTTTTGATTTGTCACTGGACAGGGAACACTGGCTGTGGCTTACAATAAATATTAATGTGTCCTGTTAGTTTCTTCAATTAGGAATGCTCCTATATTTAGATGGTCGTTCTCTTAGTATTTAATTGTCAGTTGAAATTTAGTCTTGTCAACTTACAGATGAAACCAGAGTTTTAGGTGGTTTTCACTATGGTGGTTTTGTTTTCTGGGAGTAAATGAAATCGAGCTCCTTGGTAATCTTCACAGATCTATTATTTAGGGTGAAATTTGGATGTTCTTACCAAGGGGATGATGGACAAGTGGATTTTGATCATCTTGGATGATGTGTGGGAGGGTTTCAATAATTCATTGGAGTACCTTGCCACCCTGTTTTATTCTAGGAATGAGGAAGCAGGATTCTAATGAACGCCAGGCTTGAAAGCATAGCAAAAAGTATAGGTGACAATAAATCTGGAGAACTGGGAATTATTTAAAGAATGAGCATTTGGTGACCAAAACTTCAAAAGTTGGAACATATATGACAGCTGCATGCACATCTGAATCTATCCTATTTTTTATATGCTTTGTTTCCAAAGAATTACTGCTTTGAGAAAGATCTAGTACCGTAGCTTTGGATGGCCCTGTGGTTTGCTCACTCTGATGGAGTAGACAGTGGGAACTTAGTAGATGATCTTTCAAGTAAGTCATTTATTAAGAGAGGAAGAATAACAAGTTTGTGATCCACACAGTGTTTCATTAGCTTGCAGAATGTTGAAGAGGTTTTGGAAGATCTTAAACGCTTGCAGATGTTGATACTTTCTGAGCTTCCGGTGGATTTATCTACAGTTCCCTAGCAATGAAATCGAATAGCTCCTCAAGTTATTTTGCTTGCTTTAATATCTAGAATGGCTGAATCTGTGGCACTCTAAGCATTTGCAGTTGCCAAAAAACTTGAACAAGTCGTTCATAAGTGCTGATGTAAAGCAATTTCTGTCATAGCTGGGATCAGCAATTGAAACTCTTCATAATTAAGAGTATTGTCTCCAGCATCAGAAACGTTTTGATGTAGGATGGTTAAGGGCCATGAACGAGCTTCAGAAGTGACTTTGCATCAAAGGTCTCCATCATGCTGTGACTCGAGGAAAGTTCAGCCTGTGAACATAAATAGATTCTTGAAGGTCTCCAGTCACATTATAATCTTAGAGAGATGATGATTACAGGATACATGGGCTCAAATCTCCAAGCTGGCTAAAGGAACAAATTTTGTCTAATATTGAGCATTCAGCAGCATCCTGCTATTTGCCAATCTTTAACAGCCTTGCTTTGTGCCTCAGATGTTGTTGGCCTATACATCCAGTGCCCTATTCATTACAGCAGCGTAGCACATGAAGGAACACAGAGAGAAAACCTGATTTCCAGAAAGAAAGAAAATTTCAACTTTACAACTATTTAGCCTTTGAGGCTAATCTCTGGATACATGAGTTATCACAATTTTCTCAAAGGATTCCACGACAACAAAATACTACTAACTGGATTAGTCAAAAAATGAAGTGTTGGAAGCTGATGTAAATGAGCCTTCAGGCGCATGAGGACCGAGCTATGCGCGTTGGTGATAAGCCTCATTTGGTGGTGAAGTCTTACTCCAATTCCTTAGCCGGCTGGTCAAAGAAGCTCACCGAGAGTGATTTAAGATAAAAGAATACTGCTCACAGGTCCTGCCCCCTAGTGTCATAGGGAAGGTATGGCACGGCACATTAGTATATTTGACGTGTGATAAAGACTAATCTGAGCACAAAATGTATTGTCATAAAGGGTCATCTGAGAACCAAAAATTGTTATATGTTTCATGAGCACCAAAGGTCGATATATGAAAACTTCGGCGGATTGATGCCTCCTTGATCTTTTGGGCATAGGGGGATTTAATTGAAGTGGAATCAAATGAATCTATTCGTTGGATTTGTGCTCAAAGTATAGTAGGGGGATCCAAGGTCAATAGCTGAAACTTTGAGGGAATCGATGACTCTTTCATCTTCTGGGCAAAGGGGGATTTGGCTGAAGTAGATGAATCTACTTCTTTTATTTGATGAAACTCCAAACACATATCCTTTAGACATCAGTTGGATTTGTGCCCAAAGAGTTTAATATATGAAATCTATCAATTGAGGATGGTGAGATTCGTTGGCGTTGACCATGGGATATCGTAGATGTTCGGGTGTTCCAGAGCGATAAAGGTCACGGCCAATGACCTCTGCAAGAACCATCATATAGGTAAGCATTTTTACCGAGGGGAAAGATTAGGATCTTTTTTTTACATCAAAATATTGGGAGATGATATAGGTGATAGTTAATTGATCCAACTTGGTTCGGATCCACATGCACAAGAAGAGACCTTCGAGAGCAACCAAGGCGATATCGAGTAAACAATAGTCGATATGCAGGTGGCACCGAACCCTTGACCTCCTCACTTTGACTTGGCAGCTAAATCCTGCTTGAGGAAGATTCGATCCAAATATTTAACATCCGTCTCAGTACGCAACTTTGGACTTCTGTCCTCCAAAGCAGCATTTATATCCTCAGCTAGACAGCAACTTCCCCTTAATTATTTGTTGACTTCAACAGCTCCGCACCGTCACACCACCTATTTCATTTCATGCACAATAACCATCCTCACCAGCAACCCAAGAAATAGCTCTATATACTGTAGAGCTGGTGCTATCTTTCTTTTAATTAAATCTGAAGGTTAATTATAGATTATCTTATATAGCCAATTACCTTTAATGTTTCTATTTTTATATTTTAAAAAATTAGATTGATATTCCTATAATTACGAATGTGAGACATTTAGATTTATTTATCCTAACGATATTAGTTTTACTTATAGAAACACGAAAATAAAATGTAAAAAGATAATTTTACCGTTCGATGATAGATTAAGATGTTGTTGGTGTTAACACTGACGCAGTTGCCTAGCTACTTTCAACAACGATAAGGTCCGCTCTTATCGTGATACCATCCGCCTTAACGAGGAGTGCACCGCTCGCATCACATTGTTCTACATCTGCATCGACGTCGACGTAGATGCAGAGCGACATGGGTGGGAAATGATATATCAGCGGTTATATACCAAGGCGTTAAATTGTTAGCCATATTAAAACATGTTCGCAATGAAGATGACAAATGTATAGTAAACCAGACTATATGGTCATGTGTAGTGCTTAACACATGACAATAGTCATGTTGACTAGTGATAGACTACAATGATCATAAAATACATGTCACACCGAAATCAATTTTTTCCCCAATTATGGAACGCTGCATGTGGGAAACGAATGACCACCACAATCATGCGATTGAGGGTCTATGATTTATAACTATGCATTTGTGTTAGTGCTATATTTGCATTGATGTTGACGTAATTGCTGAGCAGTGAAAGGATCGTTTGGCCAAAGGTGATATTAGAACTAATATGACAGTGGGGGGAGCGATAGGAGCTTCTACGACTCTAGCTTCGGATCGAGATTAGAATCCATCCAATGAGTCAACGATGAGGTGGGCATCATCTTTATCGTAGATACCATAATGACCACCACCATTTGTGTCGACGCTGACACAGTTGCTGCTTGGCAACTACGTTAGCATCGACAAAGATGCAAAACACATAAGGCGGGTAACGATAAGATCAATGATGTCCTCCTCGTGGAGGTAGGTGACATCAAGTGACTGTAAACTTTATATTCATCGGATGCGGTAAGACAACTACATCAATGTCAACGTTAGTGACGTCACCATTTATCACCTTCGATGTAATATGCTATCGAATATTAAAATTATTATTTTATTTTTTTATTTTTATATTTTTATTAGTAAAATTAATATCATCCGGATAAATGGACCAATATAACTATAGCTAATACAACTTTTTTTAGCGTGAAAATTGAAACGCGAAAGATAATTAGCTATAGACGATAATATGACAATGACTGGCACGATAAATTGATGACGAGTGCTGACGGTTTTTTTTATTGGGTCCCACTGGAATCGTCGGTTTGCTGCCTGGAACGGACAGCTGAGCTCCTCCCGGCGTCGTTTTCCACCGTCAACGTCGCCGCCGCGGACCGCTGCTCGCCCCGCCCCCGTTGCCCCCAAAGCGGAGAGAATGTTCTCGACTCAGATTCATCGTCATCATTCCGCATCTTCTACGCCGGAATCTGATGCCGGGAAACATCCCTCGGGACGAAAGAGGCAGATCGAGTCGGATCCTGTTCGGATTCAGGCGCTCCGTCGGCAGCACCGAGGCGGCAAGGAAGGCCGACTTCCCTTTCAAGAAGAGAACAGAAGGGAGACAGGAACCCGCGACCAACCGGTAACACTGTCTTCTTCTCTAATTTAACCCTAGATTTTAGATTATCTGATGCAAATAATTTCACATGCATCTCTCAAATACTAAATCCAACCAAACGGAGGCATAAATTATAGACCCTCAACCACTTGAAGCGTTCCATAATTGAGGGGAAAAATTGATTTCGGTGTGACAGTTCTTGTATTTTGTGATCATTGTAGTCGATCACTAGTCAACATGACTATTATCATGTGTTAATTTATACGTATCATGTGCAAAGCACTTCTCATGGCTTTGTCATATAATCTCGTTTACTATAGATCTGTCATCTTCATTGGCACATGTCTTGATCTGGTTGGCAATTCAATGCCTTGAATCTACAGAAGGTGCCAATGACTAACTAGATCTCTGAAGTCAAGATGAGTTGGTCTTTTTATAAGACAATATGAGAAGGTGCTCCACAATATTAAAGTTGTCTGCTGTCCTAAATGAAATGTGTCTGCTCATAGTTTCCCTTTCGTCACTTAATGACCTTACTGCTCATCTGAGCTCAGTCTCTTCTCTGCTGGAAGTCAGAGGCGAGCTCCTCTAATGGCTCCACTGCTAATAGCAGGTTGGTTCATAGGCACATTCATAGCTAAGGTGGCAGACCTGGGCATCCTCTACGTGAAGAACCAGTATGAGTACCGGGATGTCAAAGGAAAACTGAAAAAACTGGAGAAAAATCTCAGAAAGATCCAAGCAGCACTCTTTGAGGTCGACAAGAGACGGATCACAAACCCCGGTTTGGAGGAATGGCTATGGGACCTAAAGGATTCTGTTTATGCTGCGGAGGACGTGATCGATGGATTTGAGTACAATCTGCTTGAAGATATAGCCAAGGGCAAGAACCAGCTGATTTTTGAGGAGCAGAGCAAAGACCGGGCTAAGATCAAGAACAAGTTCATACACACACTCAAGCTACTGGCTTTTTGCGACAAGGATCTCAACCAGTTGGATGATGCTATCAAGAAATTCAGTGAACTTGTAGATGAACTTGGCAAACTTCTCAAGGTGGTGGAGCTAAATGTAGCCACTAACAAGAAGGATGATGCAGAAATTCCCAATTGGCGACGGACAACCTCCCCCATCAAGCCCAGGCCACCGAGAGGACGAGATGAAGAAGTAACGGAACTGAAGAATCTTCTTAATACAGGTAACAATTTGAATCCTGATAGCAACAATTTTTCTCTTGTTTCCATAGTAGGCCCTGGTGGGATCGGTAAGACAGAACTTGCTCGGCTTGTATACAATGATGAAAGTTTAAAATTTGATATTAAGGCATGGGTCTGTGTGTGCAATAATTTCGATGTGAGGAGGCTTTCCATAGAAATCATAGAATCTGCTGCTATCCATCGACATATTGGTCTTCACAGCATTAATAATTTGGATGAGATTCTCAAACTGACTGATCTTCATAGCATCAGTAACTTGGATGAGATACAGAAAATTCTGTCTGAGTGTCTAAAGGACAAAAGGGTTTTAGTTGTTTTGGATGATGTGTGGGAGGAGTCCGTTGCTATCTGGGAAAACCTGTGCAGTGCATTTAGATCTGGTCACAAGGGATGCAGAATCATAGTAACCACTCAGCTTGAAAGTGTGGCAAAGATGATGGGGACCAGGGACATAGTAAATCTGGATGGCTTAGATGACACGGTTAACTGGGAGTTACTCAAAGATTGTTCACTTAGTGACCAAAAACATGCTGAGCATCGGAGGTTGGAACGGATAGGCTGGGAAATATCTCAGAAGTTGGGGGGCTCACCCTTGGCAGCAGTGACAGTAGGACGTGCTTTAAAATATGATTTGAAGGAAGAACACTGGAGAAGAATCTTGCATAAGAAGATATATGAAATTGAAGAAAAGGAAGGTGACATTGTGTCAGTTCTGAGACTCAGCTATGAGCAGCTGCCTGCATACTTGAAGCAGTGCTATATTTCATGTTCTTTGTTTCCAAAGAACCATAGCTTTGAGAGAGATGATTTACTTCAAATGTGGATGGCCCTAGGCTTTGTTCAAGCAAATGACAAACATGACAGGATGGAGGACATTGGTCAGGACTTAATAAATGAGCTGTCATCCCGATCCTTTTTCGTGAATGCAAAGAGAAAGGAGGACAAGTTTGTGATCCATGCTGTCTTGCATGAGCTTGCCGATTGTATTTCTGATGGTGAATATTTTAGACTCGATGATGAATATGAAGGAAATCAGCCGATTAGAATCCCAGATAAGGCTCGCCATATTTATGTTACTGCTGATAATCTGGTTATGTTTTCTAAGATTTTGTGCAAGAAGGACAATGTGCGCAGCCTTATTGTTGCTGGTGATCTCTCCCATGGCATCCCCAAGTCTGACTTTGTGGATAGTCTTAAAGAGGTTTTGGATAGTTTAAAATGCCTGCGGCTTTTGATACTTTCTGTGCTTGGAAGTGGCTTACCTAAGGCTATTGGTGGTTTAAAACATCTACGCTACTTGGAAATCCCAGGTGATGTAATAACTGAATGGCCAGAATCATTTTTCAATCTTTACCATCTACAGTGGGTGAATCTGAAGATGTGCTCTAAGAATTTGTTGCTGCCAGAAAAGATGAACAGGTTAATAAGACTTCGTC